ACACAATGAGGGATTAAATAATATTTTATTCTTCTGAATGGGGCTGCTGATAGTGGGAGCACCAATTCCTACAGCATCCCTAATTATTCTTCTCAAAGGGGCTAGTGAGAATATACTAAATAGGAGCACAACTCCTATCTCATCCCCCTAAGTCTTGATGGGGGCCAGTCAAGGCAACACAGCATTCCAGCTTGTGCATTCCCCTTAAACGTTAATTGGGGGCCGGTCAAGGCACACACAGCATTCCAGCTGGCATACATATTCCCCAAATCCCCACTCACTGACCAGTGCTACTTGAATTATAGAGGAGGACACAGGGAAGGCATCTTGCTAGCAACAGCCTCACAAGTTTACATTAACTTTAGCAATATCATGATGACTTAGCATAGCACACACACAGTGGGCTGTTTACAATTAAACTCAAATGTTTATATTATCTCATCCTTATACCTCACTGTGTAGTTGCACTGGAAATTGTTTACAATGTGAAATCCTGGGAACTAGTAGATTGTTATGGCCATGGATCCTGGGAACTAGAATCTAGGATCCTGGGAATTATTATCTAAAAAAGAACAAAATCCACCTTACATACATTCAGTCAGCACAATGAGGCTACAAGGTGTGGCCCTTTGGAGACATCGAAAAGGAACTTCTCCGTGGAATGTGAACATGATTGTTGGTACTTTGATGAAAGGATGTTGGAATCTCAAGATGATTGATTGACTCAAGATGATGAGACTCTTAGTGGAAGAGCTATTCCTTCCTGTGTTGTATAAGAGTGAAACCAATTCTGTCATTTTTTTCTCTTTCATTCTAGGACTTTGAAAAGACAGACCAGTTGTGAAGTGGACCTATGCAGTTTCCTTCTCCGACTCCAGAGAAGCTGATGGTGACCTACAGTAGAAACACACGACAGAGGTGTAGATGAGCTTGCATGTGATCTGAGAAGGGATTGTTATAAATAGGCCCACCAAGCCCTCTCCCCACAAAGTAATCAGGCTTAGTTCCTGGCCAGTAACGAAACTATTGTCCAGAGTGAAAGAAGAATCATTTAATTATGTTTAATGAGAGAAGCATCAGGATAAAGGAGTGAGAGCAAGCTTTATACTGTTATTCTATTCAGTCCCTCCCTCGGAGCTCAAATTGGTCCAAACTCTCCCAGGTTGCAACCTTCCTGCCCTGCCCATTTCATGTCCCTCCTTGATACGTTATCTCCACACTAGTCATGCCTACTATGTTACGTAAATGAATAAAAATCTCTCCCTGGGGTGTGTTGGATAATGTTCATGAGACTTACGAAGCCTGCTACCAACAAAAAAGTCTGTGACTATACCTTGGACCTTAACCAGTCTGAGCCAGTTTCAGCCTAAGCCCCCTTTATCAGAAAGTGCAGTTAGCCAGCTTCTCCTTCTAAAAGCTGGTTGTGCTTGCTATCTTAGCCACCTTGAAACTTCAACATCCCGTGGAAACCTAACTTTTTAGTGCTATTTCTCACAGGATTTATGAACAGTAGTTGTGAATCTCAGCTCCTGATAGGCGAGGGTGAATTTTGAAATCTCTAGATAGTACGATGCCCCCATCTAGCTTTATGGGCAGAGAAGGGAGATTTCCTGGACAGCAAAAGCTTACATGGATCCTGTCCACTGTCCTACTTGGAGAGCAAAGCAGACAGTGCAGGTCCAGAGGGAAGGAGATTGCTCGGTCAGCAGCTCCCGGGGGGGGGGAGGGATTAGGAATATTGGGGTATGTAAACGTCTGGGAAAGAGAGACTCATTAGAATGTTAAAGGATGGCCCTGACACCAATCTCAAGTCTAGTTCACTATTTGTGGGGGGAAAATGGGCTATTTGAATACCCTATGTGTTTCTTGTTTTCTCTATAGACTTCCTTAAGTAATTTTCATCTTTCAAATTTTCCTGTTGGGAGAAATAAAGAATGTCTTACATCTGATATAAATTTAGCGTGTTAAGGTACTAAAAGTACTTGAGAACTAAATGCAGCACCCTTTTTACCCACATTTGAGAAAACCTAGACACAAGCTATACCATGGTACCACAGGTTACAGTGGAAAGAGTGAGAGATTTAGCATCAGGGGACCTGAGTTCTATTGTATGACTTCGTAAATCATTTAACCTCATTGGGCCTCAACTTCCTGATCTATCAAATGCTCTAGAGGACTGCACCAATATAGCTATGATCCCAAGTCAAAGTTTAGAATTAGTGAAAAATGAGGGAGTAAAAAAGTCAAGACTCAAAAGGCAAAGGCAATTAGGGGTAAGACCACATGGGCACATAGAACACAGTTGGGTTTCTTCGAAAATAGGTCTTGTGCCACAGTGTGACGAAGAGATGATTTAGCAACAGCCACCTCCAAACCAACGAACTTTCTGCTGTGATTTGTTTATTTTGCAATTAATAAAGGGCAAGAGAACCTTTTGTGATATTTGTTTTTGTGAATCCACGTGTTTGTTTCTTAGTACTCTTTGTCCTCAAAAGATGACAAAGATAAATCCGCCAATGTTATTTTACCTCTGAAGTCAGAACCTTGTTAGTGAGTTGATGCCAGGCTCATTACTGGAAATTAATATTTCCTAGGATCCCTTCTCTTGATTTACACCCTTCTCTTTGAATGACATATAATTTATGTAATTTCATAACAAGGTGCTACTTACTACTCAAATTTAATTAGGTTCTTCATGTAATCAAAAGTATCTCAGAGGCGAAACAAATGAACTGAGAGCACTTAATTGAAAATAATGAAGCATGTATAAAACAAAGTGTATTCCATTAAGTTTTCCAGCTGTATAGGATGACTTCTCATTAACCCAGGGAAGGCTTTCATCAAAATGGTATGCATTACTTTCTTTCAGCCTCTTTCAGTCAACTATTAAGTGGTCACTTTTATAACAACTATATTTTTTCAAAGATAGTTTTTTTTTAAATCCTGAAAGTTTAAACTGATGAAAAACATTGGTTGGATTAGTAAATTAGTAAAATTTTGATTCTTAGAATTATTGAACCTCAATACTGGGAAGAAATTGTCCACTAGGATGATTATTATATGGCAACCACAAACATGGTAAGGAAATCTCCTGGTTTCTCCTATAAGTGCTCAAGGGGAGGACTGGTAATTTGGGATTCTATTTGGTGCAGACGTACAGGAAGATCTCAGTATATTAAATGCCTTTGGTCATTCCAGTAGTGGAAGATATAGGAAAATTTGGAGAGAATAATGAGTAATGAGAGAATAGAGGTCAAAAGAAAAAAGAGAGAAGAAAGAGAAGACAGTAAGGAGGAGCCAGAGGCATGGCACCATGATTATTATTCTATAAGAAAACAATTCTCTAATTTCAAGAAGTTTTCAGTGATTCAGTTATTTCTGTTGTATACCACGCTGGGGTAGAGTCAGTACCTGTTTATGATTAAGTAAATGTTGAGTTGGGGTAGGGCAATCCCTATTCCAGGTGGACAGAGGCAGATTGGATTGTAAAAAGCACCAAAATCCCAAGGGACTATTGAGACTAGTAAACAGGAAAGCCAGTTGCTATCGAATATAATCTCCAAAGCATTTATTAAGTGCTTGCATAGTAAAATACCCAGCACAAGGTGCTAGGGATACAAAGATGATATGAAAAAAATCATACATTAACACCAATAAAAAATAGAAAAATAGAGCAGTGGACTTCGAGCGCTTTCATTTTCTATAACTCTAGAGTTTTCTCGCAGCTAGGTGGCACAAGTAGATAGAGTGCTGGGCCTGAAGTCAGGAAGACTCATATTCCTGAGTTCAAATCTGGCTTCAGACACTTACTAGCTATGTGACCTTGGGCGAGTCACTTTATCGTGTTTGCTTGTTTCCTCAATCTGTAAAATGAGCTGTGGAGGGAAATAGTAAACCACTGCAGTATCTTTACCAAGAAAACCCCCAAATGGGGTCACGAAGAGCTGAACATGACTGAAATCACCAAATGACAACAACAAAGCAGAAATTTCTCAAAGCATCTTCAATTGTAAAAACTGGATTGTTTATTCAAAGGAAAAAAAGTGCCTTTTGTCCCTCCCCACTCATGTTCCCCCTAGCCCCAGTTGGCAACATTAAATGCTTTTTGTCATTTGAAAGGATATTTATTTTCTTAAAATATGCTATGTACACATATAATAAAGGATATTGATGGATTGTTAATAGTCATTATATCAAGGAAATAGAGACAGAATTATGTATTTAAAATAGAAAGTTAATCTCGTTAGCTTGAAAATTGTTCCTATATAAAATAAAATGATTGAACATCACGTTTTCCTTTGTTTTCCATGTATTGCTTCTCTTTGGACTTCAGAGACCACATACAGCATTGAGAATATTAGAATCAAAGTTAAGTGATGTAAATTGCTAGCCTATGTCCACTTGGGCCATTTTTAACTTATGTCTTCTAACTCATACCTCTTTGCTCCCTTCACATTTACACAGAGGATACCTTTGAAATCTATTTGACTCAGTGAAATTTAAAACCCAGTTTCTTTAAAAAAAAGTACAAATTTGTCCTCTTTCCAATAAAAAAAATACCAATATCATTGTCCTGGTTTATTGTAGATTTCTCTCTCTGTCTCTCTGTCTCTCTGTCTCTCTCTCTCTCTCTCTCTCCCTCCCTCCCTCCATTTCTCTCTCTCCTCTTTTAAATAGACTTTTATTCATAGCTTTTGTTTTTATAACACCTATATTTCCTTCTGCATCCTTCCCTTCTCCCAGAGAATCATCCCTTATTACAAAGAAACTTTTTTAAAGAAAAAGAGGAAGAAGAGAAAAAAAATCAGCAAAAATGATCAATACATTGAGAAAAATTGACATTATATATAATATTCCACACCTCTGCAAAGGAGTGGATCGGGTGTTTTATTTTTTCTTTTGGACTAAACTTGTCCTTTGTAATTTTGCGACATTAGCTTCTGATTGTTTTGTTGTGGTTATTCTTTTCACTTACATCTCTGTAGTCATTGTAGATACTGTTTTCTTGGCTATACTTCTTTCATTTTGCATCAGTTCATGTAAGTTCATATTTGTCTGTGGCAATCATCTTTGTCTTCTCTTGCAACGCAGTAATGTTACATAACATTCATATGTTGTAATTTAGTTTCCATTCCTCAATAGATGAATATCTATTCTATTTCCTGTTCTTTGTTACCAGTAAAAGTGCTGCTATAAATGTTATAGTGTATATGGAGACTTTCATTTTGTCAATGATCTCCTAGTGGTTTAAACCTAATGGGGGAATTTCTGGGTCAAAGAGTTTGAGCATTTTAGCCACTTTATTTATATAATTACAAGTTACTCTGAAGAATGGTTATACTAATTCCCAACTCCACCAAAAATGAATGAGCATACCTGTATTTTGTGGAATGTTTTAAAACATGAAATTTTGATCACTTTTGGGCCCCATCAAGAAGCCAGTAACAAAGTGTTCCCTCATTTAAACAAACACGCCATTTGCTTTTGAACACATCCCAATGCAAATTCCAGCACAGACAATTTTGAATCAGAGCTCCAGGACAGAGGCTTATGAAGTTAAACACCCCTTTGACACAAGGGTGAATTTATCACATGACCCTGGCCTGTTTGCTGGATGGGAATTATGGAGGTGAGAATAACTGTGACAAATTCAGGGCTCAGACTTTGGTTATCAGACATTGATGTGTGTAATTCAGTGGGAAAATGTTCATTTGACTGGTGGATCTCACTAGATATCTCAAACTGTGATGTCATTTTGAATGGAAAGGCAAGTAAGGGACTTGGAAATAAAGCCCATAGAGTAGGCATATAGGGTGGCTTGTGATACAAAAGAATGCCATACACCAAATCTGTCCCCCTCCCTTTTTTCCTTCTCATTGTTCATTTGTCCTGAAAAAAAAATTTGTTTTCATTTTGTGCATCAGGAGAAGAAGTAATTGGGTAAGTATACTGAGAGATCATATGGTGAAAGCTAGGAGACAGATAGATACACTTCATTTAAGAGACTGCTATGAGATTCATGATAGTTTCCTAGTACCTCCTATGATTATGATAAATTTGTCCCAATAAAATCAACCTTGGGTGAAGGTCCATTTTGGATTTTAAAATGATATTTGATATTTATATAGTGCTTCAGTGTTCGCAAAATACTTCCCATATCTGAATCTCACAGTAACCGTGGAGGTGCTATTATTATTCCCTTTTTACATGTTGAGGATACTGAGGCTCGATGAGGTTAAATGACTTCTCCAGGGCTATACAACTAGTCAGGGTCCACAGTGGGATTTAAAATTCAGGTCCTCTGAATTCCATGATCAACACTCCTTACACTATGCTAATGTGACTTGCTAGAAATTTTCAAAGAAGTTTGCAATCTTTCTGTAGGCAGGGTCTGAACTTTAGGTTGTAAAAGTAGTAGGCACTTAATGTTTTACTGATTGAAAATAAAAGGCCACCCTATGGAAGAATGCTTAGGGCTTCTCCAAGGAGCTGTTTTATTTTTTCTGGACTTGTAAGGAGCACAGGAATTCATGCTGCATGTCTCCATCACACCCTGGGTTATGGCATCTGGACTAGTGTTACTACTTGGAGAGTAAGTATAATGGAAACCTTTGTAAGAGGAAATAGGGCCTTCAAAGAATGTATGGGGCCCCAGTGAATGCCCTGCCATGTGAATCAGGGTAGCTGAGGCTCTTGCTTTGGTGTAGAGATACTAAGATCCTGACCACTAATGATCAAGAAAACTTTCTAGAGCCCTTTGGAGTACATGGAAAGAATTATGACCACCGTAGATCACTCCTGAGATAGGTGATGATGTTTTGCTCTCCAGATGTTCCTTACTGACAAAAGTGTTTTAATCAGAGGGCAAGATGCCATATATTGGAAAACTATTTGTTGAATGAATGAATAAACTGTCAAGAAACTCTAGAATTGGAGTTCCTTCAGGCAGAAAATACCTCTAATGCATTGTTCAGGACTAGGTCATTATCTTGTCATCCTGGAATGTAGCCTCTCTTAAGCCATGAGGCAAATAACTTTATTCAGCTTCTTTTACCCTTGATTTGTTTGGTTCCCACATTGGAGTTTTATCAAGGCTCCCTAAAGACTGGCAGCAGCCTCATTATTTTTCGCCAGATCCCTGTGAAAAGAACTTACTGTATTTTGGATGGGAAGTATTTGTTTTTTCTTTCCTTTTAAACATCAGAGAAACTCAATGGCATCTCTGACCTATGTTTCTTCAGACTTGCCTTCTGTCAAAACGATTCTACTTTTCCCTTATTTGGTGTAATGGTCCATGAGGGGCTTGGTCATTCACTTACCACTGTTAGATGGGAAGTGAGCTTAGCAAGAACCCCAAGGGACAAATAAAATAAAAGAGAGCAGAAGCCTTTTAAATTGGCTGGCTTATGTAGTTAATTTGAGTATCAGCCTAGGGAATATTTTAAGATGTCACTGCCTGAGCCTCACTTAGAGTATATACAGTGACATTTCCATGTCACCTAACTGTCTTTTTACTGACTAATCTGGCAACGAAAAGAAGGATGGAATCTTTAGGTTGGCTCATAGCTTATGACTTTCTGAGAAAAAAGAGCACATGATACTCCAGAGGGGAGGCAGGTCACGGGATCATAAATTTAGAACTGTAAGGGAACATAGAGGTTATCTAGTCCAACAGTCTCATCTTACATATGAGAAAACTAAGGCCTAGAAAGCACATGAATTTACTCACTCTGGTGTAATCTTGTGGAGGAAATATTGCTGTAATAAAACAAGCTACTCCTTGACTACCTAATCCTAGAGTGAATAAACATTGTGCCAACACATTCAATTGTCCTAGTGTGCAATTGTCCCAATGCATTCAAAAGCCACTGTTCTTAGGTTGACCAAAAGAATACAGAATTCTTTAATTTTTCCCCCTGGGCAATTAATCTCCTTTGATCCCTTGTTGTGGGATGTAGGTAACCGTGGGCCCTTAAAGGCTGTGTTAGCAAAGTACAGACTGGAAATGCTCTGAGTATATGCCCATTAACAGACTGCATATTTTCAATGATGGAGAGAATATCTACATTGATTAAATTATAGATCTTGAAGTAAGTAATCTTCACTAGAGGGAAACTCTAGCTGGTTAAATCCACCTTTGATGATAAGAACTGGTTGGCTAGTAAAACTGAAAATAATCAGAGGACCTGAATTTAAATCCTGTCTCAGTCTCTTTCTGCCGTGTGAATTTGGGCCAGTTCTTTAACCTCTCTGGGCCTCAGTTTCCTCATTTGTAAAATGAAGGTGTTGGACTAGATGTCTCTAAGGGTCCTTTAACTCTAAGTCTATCTATCTATCTATCTATCTATCTATCTATCTATCTATCTATCTATCTATCATCTATATTTTTTTTAACAAAGCTTCAGTAAACTAATAGTTCCTGCTCTGAGAGAATTCTTTTCCTATCAAATGAATCATTTAGAGACTGAGAGACTCAGGGCATATGGCAGTTTGACAAGGCATTGACCCTTAGACATGGTGCTCAGCCACTCTTTCTCTGATAACACCACCTCATGCCTCATATAAGCAATTTCCTAGGCAGTTACTTCTCCAACCTCTGCTCAGCACAGCACTGACCTCCCATGCAAGAACGGTTGAGAAAACTGTGGCTAAAAATAAAACTAAATGGCTTCAGCTTGAGCATTAACTCTGCCTTGAGTCACCATCAAATTCAAAGCCATACAGTACAGGCTTGCCAGAGTAGAACCTGATTAAAAGGAAAAAAAGGTCTAGTTCTGACATAACTGTCTCTTTGAGAGAACAAAAAAGAAGAGACTAGAATTATCCATTCAAGTTTCATTGTGATTTGTTGCAGTGAGATTTTAAAACTAGAATGCTAGAGCACACTTATGTCCTAGTTATTCACAAGTGAGCAAGAATCTCCTTGGCAGATTTCTCAAAGAAATTTCCCCCAAATAAGACTGGACAAATAGCTAAAGATGGAAATGCTACTAGACACAGCTCATGCTTTCATTTCATTTCTGGATCTTGTTAGCATTTACCAGGTACATCTAATTATTAACCTTCCTGGAAATTTTGCACTTTGAAATACATTTTTCATAAGGTTTGCCCAGTCAGCCAATTTAAAAAGAAAAAATGGTCATGCAAATAGATTTTCCACAATGCATTCAAAAGCCACCATCCTCAGGTTGACCAAACTTTGATACCCATGCCTAGTGAAGCTTTTAAATTACTTATTCATCTATCTATTCATTCATTCAACCAATTTTGTGAGCCAGCGTATTTGAGCTATATACTAAATTGCCATTAGTTTGGGAGTCAGGGGATCTAGTTCTGCCACTAATTATCTCTGTGAACTTGGCAAAGTCACCTAACCTCATTAGGCCTCAGTTTCCTCATTTGTAGAATGAGGTAGTTGGATTAGAGATGGTCTTTATGTGTACATATGCAATAAAGCACAATGAACCCAGTTCTGCCATTAATTAGGGAACAAGTGATTGATTTTGAGGTGGAGGGATTAGTTTATATAAGCATTTTCAATTCAACTTGATTGAATTGAAAATTGATTTGAGGTGAGGGGATTAGGTCATATAGACCTTTTCATTCCTTCTTTGGATTTAACAAGAGGCAGTGTGGTTTAAAAGAATTAGAATGAGCAGATCTTGGTTTAAATCCTGGCCCTTCTACTTACAACCCCTATGAGTTTGAGCCTTCCCTCTTCTTGGCCTCATTTGCCTCCTCTATAAAATGAAGAGTTTGGTCTTATGAACTAGGTGACCCTGAGGGACCTTCCAGTTCCAAATCCTATGACTGATTATTTGTTCCAGAACACTAAATTTCATTTCCAGGGTTCGAAAGAGTAAATGAAGAAACATTTACACAACAAGGAAATTAATCCTGATTGCCCAGCAGGTGGGTGCAAACCCAGAGAGAAGTATGGCAGGGCTATGTATAAATCCTTTCTTCAGTGTAGCTACCGCATGTCACTCCCTTTTGGAATCACACTAGCAAATGTTAACTAGACTCCATTTAGCAAGAAACTAGTGTGCAATATCATAGTAAAACTGGCTGATAATATCTCATTTGTAACCCTGCTAAATGATTATTATTGCATGAACGAGATGAAATTGGTGGTCTCTATGGAGTCATATTTTATAGTTGCAAAAACTGAAAGCATTTTGTTTCCTCTCACTATCCGTGTGCCACTTACAGATTTCCTATTTTTGTTTAATAAATGTTTGAGAATATATTAGAGAAGTGGTCAGGTAAGAAGGGATAGTAAACAAAAATGAAAGAAAGGAGGGATGAAAGAGGAAAAGGATGACATGGAAGGGATATAGCAATATCAGGCATGTCCTACGTATCCAGGGGATAGTGCTCAAGATAGGGCAACTTCCTAGGGAAATTCCAAAGGAATGAATGATCCTGTCCCCTGAAGTTTGTTTCTGTGCTTCTCATATGATTTTATTCCAAGCCTGCCTCTCTCTTCCTGTAGCTGTCTCATAGACAGATCTTCTTTCAATATCATTTGGGCCTGGCAGTGTTCAGAAGTATAAATACTGTCATTCTATGCCTGGGAACAGAACTTTTAAGAGAAAGTAAGAGATAAAATAAATAAAGTAAAGACACTCCCTAGGCATTTCCAAGGTATCTGTAAAATGAATTAATAAGTTCTTGTTGTTTCTAATCACGAGCATAGCAGTAACTTGCTCTTTTGTGAAAAAAAAAAGACTGGTTCTAGGGAGGAGTCTTAGAGAAAAGATTAAGACTTAATTTGGTTTCTCAGTATTACTGGCCAATTTTTATTCTCCTAGGTATAAGCTTTCTATCTGAGTGAAAAACAATTCCTGAATATGGTACCGAGACACCTAAAAAGTTATCCATGATGATGAGTACAGAGAGAAGGAAGGACCAACATGTCACCCTAAGTAACCCATACCAAGGAAAGCTACTGACATAGAATAGGATGCACTGTGCAACAACCAAGAGAAGCTATTGAAAATTAAGCAATTAGTAGAAAGTAATAAAATCCTTCCAGTCAAACATGGTTGATCTTCAGAGACTTTCTGAGGCTTGCTGTTCAGCAGTTCTGGGAAAGGACTCCCACATGGGAAGAGCAGACAGATAACCCTGTGGCATAATTTCAGATGGCTGAAAATGTCTTGCTGATCCAAGAAGTCACTCTTCTAGTGGATGTTTGAAATTCTGCCATGGGAGCTTTTTCACCCTGTAGCTTCAGTATGTATTTGCCTAACAGAAATATAAGGAGTAATTTTAATGTTCAGGGCAGGCAGCATAAAACGGTGCCCTCAAATTATATATATGTATATGAAATATTAAAGACAAACCAATTTGAGAAGGGGAACTAGTCACTATAAGGGTTCCCAGATGGGTATTATTTATCTAGTAACTCTTTATTTTAAATAACTATTCTAGAGCACTAGCTGCTACATTCAGTTGTTTCTTAAGGAGTGTATTTGTTAAATTTTTTGCACCATCTAAATTTAGGGCAAAGTCATGATTGCTCTGTCCTAGTCATGGCTCTGCAGCCTATTACAGTACAATAGCCCAGGAAGACTATACGACATCTGACAGGGTTTTATGTAGGTACTTAAGAAATGCTTGTTGAATTTAATTGCATTAAATCAGACCTTTCCACTTCAGAGTGAAGACTTTCAAATTCTTTCTTGGGAGCAGGTTTTGACAAGTGGAAAGGAGGTGTCGCTGTGGCAGAAAGGGAGAACGAAGTCAAGAAGCGTGATTCTGCCCACTTCTAGATATTTCTTGGAACTATCCCATTCTTTCAATTTGGGTGAGAAATGGAGATCTCTCTGATCCATGAATCACTTCAGGCAAGGCTCTAAGCTTCTCTGAGCCTCATTTTCCTCTTCTGTAAAAAATGAAGATGATCTCTGGGAATTCTCCTAGCTCTAAAATTCCATCATCAAATAGGCTGTGATGCTTAAACACTCCAATCATCAGGCTACCCATAGACCCCATTACACCAGGACTTCCGGTAAAAATAAGGATGATTTTTTTTTCTGGTTAAATTCTGTAAAAATTCCCATTGCTTTCTCTCTTGGTCAGCCTTGGTAAGCATGGCTCTGTCTAGATTTTTTGATAGAGTCTCAAAGTCTTCTTTGGCTTCTTATATTCAGAAGTGAGATTGGAGGTAAATATTGGTTCTGAAGTCTTTGGTGTGAACATCAAAAATATAAAATGTTAGTGAAACAGACTCCGTGTAGGCTGATTTAGTGGGATAAATCAGGACAGAATAAGCTTCCTGAAAAATTGTGAATCTGTGTAAGACACATATGGATAGGATAGTAGTTCAAGGCAAAAATTTGACTGATAAATTTGTATTGGATTTGTGTATATTGTTAAAGGCATCTGTTAAAGTTGCCAAACTGTAACTGAATTGTCTGATACAGAGTCTGGAGAAATTTCCCTACACCTTCACATTCACTGGAGGTGAAGACATAAAGATGCATGATGCCTTTTATTTTGTTTTCAACATCATCAACAGCTGTCCTGACTGTAATATTGGCTCAGTGCATTTTTCCTTTAGAGTATGGGACTTGAGGAAGAAAAGACTATTCGGCTGGCTAATGTGAAATCTCACAGACTGGAGGAAGACCTTGCTTTGAAGTAAATTCTTGCTCAGGTCATGCACTCCCTCTAGGGGCACATGGGAGCCCCAAGATGAAGTGGCATCCTCACTCCTGTGGGCTGTTGGAACGGTATCTCAAATAATCTCATGCGATGGTGCAGCAGCCTGGGCAACACCTAGAACACTGCTGCTTCTTCTTTTTGGGGTGAAAAATGGCGAGTATTGCTTCATCAAAGACTGTTTTAAGGCCTTTCTGTGTTAGGGCTGAGCATTCCAAGTAGCACTGTGCTCCAATCTGAAATAGAAAGGAGAAAAAAAAAGACATGAAATCCCACCAAAGGTCAGCTTATGGATAGAGTTGGGTTTTGTAACCACTGCCTTTGGATAACATTCTTTTGCTCTCTGTCCAAGCTATTGGTTCACATGGAAGGGTCTGGGGATAAATTGGTTTGGTTTTTGGTTTTTGTTCTTTGGAGTTTTGAAGGCTTTTTTTTTTTGGCCAAAAATGACCCCTTTTGTTTGTTACTTTCTTAGCCGGAAGCATTATAGGAATTGGACATGTCTCCTACATATTATTTTAAGTATATAAAAAATTAAGATGCCAAATGAGCAACAATGATATAACCAGGGTCACATAAATGATAATAATAAAAATAATAATTATAATAGATAATATATAGCCTACATATACATATACATAAGAAATATTATAGAACACAGAGCATTGCACTGATTGCTGTTCAATTATGTCTGGCTTTTTACCCCATGGACTATAGTGTCCATGGGGTTTTCTTGGCAAAGATACTGGAATGGTTTGCCATTTCCTTCTCCAGTAGATTAAGGCAAACAGAGGTTAAGTGACTTGCCCAGGGTCGCAAAGCCAAGTGTCTGAGGCCTGATTTGAACTCAGGTCTTTCTGACTCTAGCCAGGCCTAGCACTCTATTCACTGAGTCATCTAGCTACCTCTAATATAGCATTAAAGAGGTCTAAAAAAGTGTGATGTGAGGTGTGAGTGGCAAAGTCATTACCAATGAGGGGATTTATGGAAGACTTCATGAAGGGGAGTGGCATTTTTGCTGGGTTTTAAAGGGTGGGTAATATTCAACACATGAAGAGGAGGGAGGCCATTGGCGATCTGGGGAATAAGGTGAAGGCTTATAGGAAGGAGAGTACAATGCTTCCCTGAGTGGCAGAGAGGAACTTGGTTTAACTGGAGCATAGAGTGTCTGGAGAAAAGTATTAATAAGGTATTAGGAGGTAGGATGGTACCAGATTGTGGAAGGCCTTGAATACCAGGAAAAGAAATTTTTATTTTACTCAGTAAGTATAAAGGAGCCACAAATAATTCCTGACCATATTAATGGCATGACTAGATCTATGTAAAAGAAGATTAATTTGGCAATGATGTAAAGTTTGGATTATAAAAGGGGAGTAAGGGTGGGAAGACCCACCGGAAAACTATTTCAATACTACAAGCAGTGGGAATGAGGGCCTGTGCTAGGGTAATAGCAACAGGAATAGAGAGAGAGGTAGGGGCATAGATTGGAGGCAGCCAGGTGGCTCAGTGGATGCAGCACTGGGCCTAGAATCAGGAAGATGAGTCTTCTTGAGTTCAAATTGGGCATCAGACATTTACTAGCTATGTGACCCTGGGCGAGTCACTTAATTCTGTCTTAAATCCACTGGAGAAGGAAATGTCAAACTAGTCCAGTATCTTTTCTGAGAAAACCCTGTGGATAGTATGGTCCATGGGGTCATGAAGGTTGGACACAAATGAATCGAATGAACAGCAAACAATAACAACACAGATAAGAGAGATGTGAAATAGAATCAATAGGATTTGGTAACTGGTTGGATAGAGCAAGTGATGGAGAGGAAAGTGTCAATAAAAGTACCAAAACTTTGAGTAGAGGAGATTGGTGAATGGTGGCACTACTGACAGAAATAGTAAGTCACGAAGAAAGGAAGGTATAAGGGGAAAGACAAAAGGTTCATTTTTGTACATGTTGAGTTTAAAGGCCTGGTAGGAGGGCTGCCCTGTAGGTGGAGATGCTACCCTGGGTATCAGAAGAGAGTCAAGAGCTGATGTCTAGATTGGGTAGTCATCTGCAAAGAAGTGGTTGCTGAAGCTATGGGAATAATGAGATGGTTAATACAGAGCATTTGGATATTAAATACATGAATGAAGAAGCATTTAAGTGTCTCCTATATGCCATATACCATACTAGGCACTGGGGATAAAAATATAAAATATAAAAGTACTTGCCTTGGCGAGCTTACATTTTAAGGGGGGATACAGAATGCCAAAATTAGAGCTTTGGGGAATAATCTCATTAAGTGACAGGGAAGACTGTATTGATAAAATTTTCTGTAACTTTTATAGAAGGTACCCTGAATTTAGTAGCTGTGAAAAAATGTTGCTTCATGGTAGAAAAATACCAAAGAAAAGGATATTAGATGTTAAAGTTTAGGGCTATTTTTAAAACAACTTTCATTTTTTCACTGTTTGTCTTTGCAATGGCACAGCTACTTTGTAATTAAAGAACACAGTTGGATACCAGAGAGAGATAAAAGGCAGAGACATAAATTCCCTAATTATGTCATAAAATATGTCATCTCATTTGTTTTTGGATTTTACCCAAGTTTATTTTGTTTGATTTTTATCAAATCTTTAAAGCATGATAATCTAATTAACATTTCAGTCTAATGACTATTTGCCATTTAGCCACTCCCAACAGTCATCTAGGAAAATATCAAAAGAAATTTCTAATTATTTTATAGTTAGTGTGTCTAACTGGTCATAATAAATTCTATCAGCCATTAAAAACTTTCAAGTTGCTATGATTTCAGAAATTATATGGGGTGAGTAAAGTCATTTGAAGACTCTGAGGATTTAGAAATTCATCATTTAGGGAGTTCAGTGCTGTTAAGTCAAGTCAACAAGCATATGAAGCATCTACTATCTACCAAACCCTGTGGATACAAAGAAAGGCAAATAGTTCCTGCTCACAGTCTAATTAGGGAAACAACATACAAACAGTTACGTACAAACAAGATATAGACAGGATAAATTGGAAATGCTCTCAGAGGGATTGTAGAGGACAAAGAAAGTCTTCTTTCAAAAGGTGAGACTTTAATCGAAGCTTTAAGGAAGCCAGGGAAGCTAGGAGGATGAAGATAGGTATGGTGGACAGCCCGTGAAAATACCCAGGATCAAGAGATGGAGAGTCTTGTGAAACATGTAGGAAGGAGGCTAGTCATTGCATCATGGAGTATGTGGAGAAGAGTAATGTATAAGAAGACTGGAAAGCTAGGAAGGAAGGGTTTTAAAATCGAGACAGGGACTCTTATATTGGATTCTAGAAATGACAGAGAGATACCAGAGTTTACTGAATGGCAGTAAGGGATTGAAAACGTGCTTTAGGAAGATCAATTTGACACTTTAGTGGAGGATGGATTGGAGTGAGGAGAGACTTTGGGCAGGGAGATCAACCAGAAGGCTATTGCAGTAATCCAGACTTGAGGGCATTCCCTCTGTCTCTACTCTGAATGGTGACTAGCTGTACCTGGCCTTGGTACAGTCTGGGAAAAGTCCAGGATTTCTGGGCTTACAGTTCAGTTGGAAATGCAAGTGTGTCTAGGTATATGTAGTGTATCATATAGAAAAATGAGGGTGAAATCCCCTGGAATAGAAGCACCTTTTAGTTGAAGAGTTCTTAACCTTTTTGAGCCACGGACACCTTTGGCAGTCTGGTGAAGCCTTTGGATTCTTTCTCAAAGTAACGAATAATATAAAATGCATAGGATAACCAAGGAAACCAATTATGTTAAAAATAAACAAAACATCAAACATACAAAAGTACAATAAACGCAAAAAATATTTTTTAAAAATGCAAAGTTCAAAGACCCTGGGTTAAAAAACTGATGCTAGATGGAAATATTAATGGATTCTTTGTACCATTCATCGAATAGGCTGGACATTAGAAGTACTAGATTTTTGGTCTCGTTTTGCTATTATTGATATGACCTGGGGCAACACTTAGACTCCTTCTTAGTCAAGCTATCATGAAAAAGAAAATAAGAATAGTAATCCTGTTTAAACCCAAAGGTTAAAAGAAAACTAGTCATGGAGTCATAGGATCATAGAGCTGGAAGAGAGCTCAGAGGTCAGTAAGTCCAGCCTCTTCATTGTACACCTGAGGAAACTGAGACCCAGAGAGGATGTAACTTGTCCAAGGTCACATACATAATCAAAAGTAGAAACAGAATTTGAGCCTAGGTTCCCTGCCTCCAAAACCAGCACACATTCTGTTAAACCTCAATACCTTTCATGAGAAGACCCAGGTTCTACACTTAGTTCTTTTTTTTTTTTGTTATTTTAGGCAATGGGGTTAAGTGACTTGCCCAGGGTCACACAGCTAGTAAGTGTTATGTGTCTGAGACTGGATTTGAACTCAGGTCCTCCTGAATCCAGGGCCGGTGCTCTATCTACTGCGCCAGCTAGCTGCCCCCTCTACACTTAGTTCTTCCACTGGCCTTTTGTGTGACCTTGGGTGAGTCACTTTATCTTTCTATTTCTTCTTTTTCTTAGCTATAATGTGGTGGTTGTATTAAAAATTTCTAGACTAGATTATCTCTAGGCCCACTAATCTATAAATGAGCTTCTCTTGAGAATAAATGGTACATACTAGAAAGATCCCAACAGAGAATGAGGGTGAGAGGGAGAGTGAGCTGATGCAGGGGATATGATAGCAATAAAAGTTGGCAAAAGGTAGAGGAAGACTGTTGTTTTTGTCCTTCATTCTCAAAGAGGACCAGTGACATCACAAGGATGATGTCTTGACTTGCAAATGAATTGGATTTAAGTGAGGCAGAGCTGTGCAAAATGATCAGTCCCACTCTCTGCTCCATAGTTACTGGGATGCAGTGCCAAGACATAGATCAGGATGATTGGTGATGGTCCAGGATGCAGTGGGACACTTTGGCCTTTTTAAGCCAAGGTCTTTCCCAGGTCCCAGTTTGCCATAAACATAATACTTGTCTTCATCCCAACTTAAGGATTCCCCAACCACTTAATCTTTTGCAGAGAACCTATATTTGTCCCTTGTGCAGTGAATGCTCACCACAGACCTTTTCCTTCAAAATGGAAAGAGCTAGTATAGAGGGAGACATTGAAGAACAAAGAGAGAAGGCAGAGTGATGTGTTTGACAGTGCAAAGATTTGGAGAAAGGTAGAGGAAACCAATGGCAAAGACATTTTCTTCCTTCCTTCCTTCCTTCCTTCCTTCTTTCCTTCCTTCTTTCCTTCCTTCCTTCCTTCCTTCCTTCCTTCCTTCCTTCCTTCCTTCCCTCCTCCTCTCTCCTTATTTCCTTCCCTCCCTCCTTCTCTCCTTATTTCCTTCCCTCCCTCCCTCCCTCCCTCCCTCCCTTCCTTCCTTCCTTCCTTCCTTCCTTCCTTCCTCCCTTCCTCCCTCCTTCCTTCCTTCCTTCATTTCCTCCCTCCCTCCTGCCCTCCTTTCCTCCCTCCCTCCTTCCCTCCCTCCTTCCTCCCTCCCTCCTTCCTTCCTTCCTTCCTTCCTTCCTTCCTTCCTTCCTTCCTTCCTTCCTTCCTTCCTTCCCTCCCTCCTTCTCTCCTTATTTCCTTCCCTCCCTCCTTCTCTCCTTCTTTCCTTCCCTCCCTCCCTCCCTCCCTTCCTTCCTTCCTTCCTCCCTCCCTTCCTCCCTTCCCTCCTTCTTTCCCTCCTTCCTTCCTTCCTTCCTTCCTTCCTTCCTTCCCTTCCTTCCTTCCTTCCTTCCTTCCTTCCTTCATTTCCTCCCTCCCTCCTGCCCTCCTTCCTTCCCTCCTTCCTTCCCTCCTTCCTTCCTTCCTTCCTTCCTTCCTTCCTTCCTTCCTTCCTTTCTTCCTTCCTTCCTTCCATCAGAAAGAAAAGAGGAAAGGATGGGTGAAGACAGAAGGGTTTGGAGTTATGGAGGAAGGAAGCTGAGAGAATTCACTTGAGTTGGTTTTGATCCCAGTGAGTAAGAAGCAAGGCTATCTGCTTGGAAGGTGGGGGCATCAGGGCAGAGGGCCGTGTGTGAAGTTTAAAGAAAGTGGAAAAGGTTCAGATTGATACTTGTGTTGAAAGCAGCAATCAATGACGAATAAAAAAATCAGTGAGCAGCAATATAAGTTTAATACAGATCCGACCACTTATGTTTCATGAATTTCTGCAGTCTTGGAGCAGAGCTATCATAGAGCTGACAGTTTTGTGAAATGTCAATGGGGAAGTATGATTTGATTTACAGAAAACTTTTCAGGAGCACATTCACTGTATAAAATGAAGTTTGTCCTCAATATACGAATTTTGGTATCCATTTTAGACTGATATTTGCAGCAACAGGGAGACACAGCAGGCATGAGCAGAATTTAGAACTTAGCAAATATTTCCCCCAAAGTTTTCATAATGAAATAACTGTGGCTGCCAAGAAAGGACATTTAAAAAATAAATGCAGCTGTGAATATGTTGTAAGTCCCAGGGAAAAAGTTCATATTCCTTCTGTGGTTATTTTTTGTCTGAGTTACTCTTTTAAAAATTCTTGACAGCACAGATTTTCCAAGGGGATCAGGAACCTTAGACACCTTCTAGTACAACTACTTCATTATACAGATGAGGAAACTGAGGCCTGGGGAATAGTGGAATCATGGATTTAGAGACAGAAAGGACTTTCAAGGTCACCTAGTCCAACTTTATTCTTTTACAGATGAGGAAGCTGAGGCCTAGAGCGGTTTTAAGTGACTTGCCCAAGGTCACACAGGTGACAGAACTGGGATTTGAACTGAGGCCCTCTGATTCCAAATCCAGCATTATTTCTAATGCCCTACGTCTCCTCCCACATTAAGTGACTTGCTCTTTGTCATATAAATAGTGATAGAACTGGAATTTGAATCTAGATCCTACTACTTCAGATCCACGACTTCATTCCACTGTATCAATTATTGTCAAGTTTTTAAAGTATTAAGCACACATTAACTTGCTAGATGCGAGTCTAACGCTTCTCCTGAGACAACCACAAAATGCCTCTAGAGGCTAATTTAAATGTTTCACCTATAACGTGGAGTGAGATTTACAAATAAACAGACTGGATGACTGATTTTATTATCGTAAAATGCAGCAAACAGCAATCATGGAGGCTGTTAAATCAAACAGTAAGAACCTCAGATGTTTTAATTAACCAAATTTCCTTCTTATTAGGGTACAGACAATACTGCTTGACAATGCATTAATCAAATGAACCATTCCCACAAGGCTACAGAAGAGAAGTTAAATCCTCTCACATCTGTTTCCTTTCCACTCACCTAGCTCAAGCCCTCATCACCCCTTGCTAGACTACTACAGCAGCCTTCTAAATGGCCTCTCTGCATCCAGCTTCTTCTCATCCTCTGCATAGTCATCAAATCAATATTTCAATCACATATGTTGGATCATGTCACTCCAGAAATTTCGGTGGCTCTCTATCACCCCTAGGATAAATAATGAACTCCTTTGGCTTTTAAAACCTTTCATTATCTAGCTCCAATCTGTCTTTTTTTTTTAAGGCAATTGGGGTTAAGTGACTTGTCCAGGGTCACATAGCTAGTGTCAAGTGTTTGGCCTGAGGCCGGATTTGAACTCAAGTCCTCCTGACTTCAGGGCCAGTGCTCTATCTTCCGCACCACCCAAGTGCCCCGCTCAATCTGTCCTTTAAAACTGATTTTACTTCACTGCCTTTCATATTCTCCCGATCCTAGCCAAACTGGTCTACTTGTTATTCTGTTCAGAAAATTCCACTGTGTCCTTTGAGCTGTTACTCAGAATGTTGCCCCTCTTTCCCTCTGCACTCTTCTCCCCTTGCAAATGGAGAAATTTTGAATGCTGCGGATAAGTTCACTTACCTTGGTAGTGTACTTTCTGGGGAATGCACATATTGATAATGAGATTGATGCACACATTGCTAGAGCTAGCTCAGTGTTTGGCAGACTCCGAAGGAAAGTATGGGAGAGAAGAGGTATATTAGACTGACTGCCTAACTGAAGGTTTACAGAGCTGTTGTGCTGACCTGGACAGTATCCCAGTACCATGCCAGGAAACTGACTCGCTTCCATTTGAATTGTCTTAGGAAGATTCTGAAGATCACCTGGCAGGATAAGATCCCAGACACTGAGGTCCTTTCTCCAACTAAACTGCCAAGCATGCAGACTCTACTTCAGAGAGCACAACTCCAATGGGCTGGCACCGTTATTCAAATGTAAAATATACACTTGCCAAAACGTACATTGTGTGGAGAACTCACACAGGGCAAGCCTTCACATGGTGGTCAGAAGTGACACAAGGACACTCCAGATCTCTCTTAAGAAGTTTGGAATTGATTGTGGGACTTGGGAGATACTGGCACAGGACTGCCCAGCATGGCGCGCTCCCATCAGAGAAAGTGCTGTGCTCCATGAGCAAAGCAGAATCGTGAAGTAGCTCAAAAGAAACTCGAGAGGCACAAATTTAGAGAATCCACCCCAAATGTCCCCATGGACTATTTGTGCCTGACCTGTGGTAGAACATTCTGAGCTCATGTTGGTCTGATCAGCCACAGTCAGACACAGTGTAACTTGACTGTAGCACAGTGACGTCATTTTTGTCCTCTTCAAGAATGAGGGACGACAAACCAATCAACCTTGGAATACTTTCCCTTATCACTTCCAGCTCTTTGAATTCTCACCTATTCAAGGATCAGCTCAAATGATATTTCCCACAATTTTTTTTCCTGATCCCTTCTCCTTTCCCCAATTGTTAGTGCTTTCCCACCTCTAAATTACTTTGTATAGTTAGCCTTTCCATAGGGAATACATTAGGGGCACAGTACCTCCATAATCTGGAAAATCCACCTAAAAGTTTTTGGCTCTCCCTTTGTACCAGAGAAGAAGTCTAAACTTCTTCTTTTTCTTTTATGGGGTGTTTACAGTACTTTATTGTAAAATGTGGGGTTGATATTATGCAATATTTGATTATCTGAGTTTCTAAATTTTTTCTGTCGTCTTTTAGCCTTTGTGTGTTATCTGCGGCTTTTGCAAAACTCCCTCAAAATTCCCATTTGATTTCTTATGCCGACCTGTGATATATCTAAACCATGATGTGGAAGGGATAACTATTTCCTTACTTACATATTTACTTATTTGCCCTAGTAGAATGTAAGCTTTATGAGGGCAAGGGCTATTTCAGTTTTGTCTTTGTATCCTCAGTGCCCAGCACTAAATAAATGCTTGTTGAATTGATTTGAAATGAATGCTACCAAAAGCATGGCAGTTTCTCCCCTCTTGCCAGTTCCAAAGCACTCGTATATAACATTCCAAATTGTTGTCTTAGAATAAATTTGAAGATTTCACTCAAGTTTTACCATACCGCCTTGGCAAGCTTCACTCCGTGCTCATAAGTGAGGGGTTTCTCTTTCATGTAGAACAACCGAGCCAACGTTTTGGGGTCATCACGAAGATCAATCTAGCAAAAAGAGCACACATGGCAAACTCAGTTTCCCCCAATTATAGTAGAAGTTTTCCATTGTGAAGCAGTAAACCTACAAACATACTGCAAGAATTTTTTATCTCAGAAATGAACAACCACATTCACGGGTTAGGACCATAAAGTAAGAAGGCTGATTTTTAAACAACATACACAAAGAACGTAACACAAATGAATGCTGTCCTTCCAAAATGTCACCTGAGGAGTCAATGTGTTAATGCCTATCATCCTGTCATTTGACCAAATATTCTTGGAATTGCCTCCAGAGCTACTTTATGAGCCGTACAAGAGTTTCATCATCTTATAATTACATATTATTTTTCACCAAATATTATCTAAATTCATATTAATACAGCTTCACTATACTTACTTCCCAATCTCTTTTGGCTATTTCTAAAAATCAAATATACCCTTAGAGGATGAATATTTGCCACCACTGAGCACGCTCAAAAGAAGACAATTCTAAAAGTGTTCTCAATGAACAGTGGAATAAGTGTATGGTGTCCTTAGGTGACTACTTTAATGTGGATAACATTCTTTTGGATGGATAAATTTAGACATTCATGTTAAATAATGCCATATCACATTATAACTATATATCACATACGTTTGTATGTGTGGGAGTGACAGGGAATATTCTGAGTTTTTGTGGGCTTTTTACCTGAAGCAAAAAGCAATAATCATTAATTCCAAATCTGATTATACTTGCATTATTCATCTCTAACCAAGTGTGTATTTCCTGCCTTGATGAGCAGCATCAGTGCCTCTCAGTAAGCAGTACTGACATTAAATTACGTAGAGTATTCGAATTTCATGTCTATTATTTTTGTAGTGAGCACCCAGTATCAAGCAATACTGCCATGTTTGTATACTTTTCATAAAAACAGAATTATAACCCCAATTTATAAATGGGATATTTCTTCTTTCTTGCTTGTTTTATACAAATATATACAATTTACAATATTCAAATATATGCATCTTATTTTTTTAGAAAACATCTCTCTACCCCTTTGTAGATTTCTTTCCCTCCCCAGTTTCCTTTGTAAAGCCAAAAAGGAAAATAAAATAATATTGAAGAGAACCTATGCCTATAATCCTAACAGTATCAGTATCATTCAGTGTTCATGCAATTTTCTATCTGCAGACATAGTCACTTGAATAAAAAGGGGCAAAATCCAGGGAAATATGTAAAGACAAATGCCATCTTTAAATTCTTCTTGTGTGGGCATGAGGGCAACTATCTGAAAATCATTCATTCAAAAAATATTTATTGAGGACCCTATAATGAGCAAAGTACTATGTTAGTCATTGTGGAGACTAGAAAGCTAAAGAAGACATGATCCCTTAAAAAACACAACAACAACAAACAACTGTATATAAACGGAGTACATAGTTTCATATAAAATCCTCATTTCTTTTTTAAATACCGAGATGTTCATATTTGTTGATAATTATTAAAATTATCTTAAGAAATAAAAAAAATTTATAGGATCATAGATTTGGAGCTGTAAAGGACCTTACAGGTCATTTAGTCTAACCTCTTCATTTTATAGATGAGAAACAAGAGAGGATTTGAACCTATGTTCTCTCACTGCAAATGCAGCACTTTTCCTAATGCCTTTTCTTTAAGGATCCAATGATCAAATTATAGGGATCGTGGAAGTATTCAGAACAAGATAACATTTGAGTGGGGTCTTATAGGAGCTTCCTGAGATGTGTATAGATAGGTAGCATTGGGGGAGTAGGGCACCCTAGGGGGAAGGAAATATCCACGAAGACACAGAGGCAGGAAAACATGGAGTGGATTTAAGGAACAGCAAGAAATCCACTTTGGTGGAAGAGGAGGGGAAGAAAATAGAAGAAATAGAAGATGAGGGTGGAAAGGGAGGTTAAACTTAGACCATGAAGAATTTCAGATTCTATGTTAAGGAGCCTAGACTTAAATCAGTAGGCAGCGGGGAACCATTTAAGATTTTTAAGTAGTGAGGGACATGGTTAACACTATTGCTTATTTATAAAATATTTCTTATATTTGAAAAACTTGGTTAGTTTATAAAGAACTTAAAAGAATTCTGTAACTACCATTTTGTTCATGCAATACCAATAAAATAGTCCAGTTTTATCTTCTTTTCCAAGATGACAGTGAGGAGAGGTATTCTTAAATGGAAATAGAGAACATCTGTACCTAGATTCATGTATGTGAAGACCATTATTAAGTTAGCTCTTCACCTCTCTTTTGTGTGGACCAAATGATTGTGGCTAAGTTATATGAAAGATCCTGAAGCATTTGCAAAAGAAATGTTTCTATAATATACTTATTAGATTCATAAGATTAGCTTTCAAAGATTTCAAAAAAATCCTCTGTCTTAACACCCACCTACCCACCCATACCCACATCCACCCACATCTGCATCTTAGGTTTTAACCTGTGTTCCTATGAGGACGAAAGGGACATGCAGCATACAGCCTTTCAGTTCAGGTACCCATTCTTCTTTTCTTAACACCCACCTACCCAGCCATACCCATATCCACCCACATCTGCATCTTAGGCTTTAACCTGTGTTCCTATGAGGACGAAAGGGACATGTGGCATACAGCCTTTCAGTTCAGGTACCCATTCTTCCTGGACGTTGTGATAAGAGGCTGGGTTTACAACAGAAAAACAGATCAGAAACACATCGGTATTGGGGTAGGAGAGTGGTCTCAGTTGGTTATAGTCCTCCTGTGGGAAAAACAAAAGGAAGGGTTGAGTGCTTTGCTGGAAAGTACTCACTTAAGAGCAGATAGAATGTAAATACAGGTAATTGCATTATTGTATTAGAACTTTTAGTCAAATATTGTTCTAAATAATGAAGCCATTTTGAGTCAGACTTGATGGCATCTGAGAAACCTACTAGTTGCAAAGTCCTAGGATTCTGCTATGAGCTAGACGACATTTTTTTGTTTGTTTTACAGAGGTTTTTGCTGTATAAGTCAAATCCCATTATTATGAACTTCAAGGAATTGTCCAAATTCTCATGAGGCCATGTGGTACAGCAGAAAGAACACTAGATTTAAAGTCAAAGACTTGGATTTGTATTTTAGCCCTGTTACTTGTTTGGTCTTAGGGGAGTTATAAAATTAGGATGTTTGATTAGATGACCTCTAAAGTCCCTTTCAGCTCAAAATCTATGATTCTGACATACAGGACATTTGAGTATTGGACAATGCTTGAATTAGTGGCCATCCACTGTGGGGTGGGGATAGGGGAAACTGGTTTTTTTTATACAGAGATATTTGTCGTAATGGGATTTGATTTTTGGATATGAGCTTATTAGAATAAAAAATGAAGGATCCATGATGAATTCTTCTCTAAAATGTTCACATTTACACAATAGCGTTTGTGAGAAATTGGTACTATAACTTGCAGTTAGTTTCTAATGTCTATAATCAGGTTACAGGTCACACTGCAGATGGAACGGGCTAAGTATCAGATGATTTATACTTTACAAGACGACTTTTCAGAACAAAATCTGTTCAGGTTCAGAAGGTCTCTGATGAACTAGAGTTTAAGAGACAGTAGTGAGTGAACTGTAACACTGGATCACCTCAGAGTTAGCTCTGTAAAACTAGGGTCAGGAAACTTCCATTAGGCATGGTCAAAAGGTTTTATGTAAAGTGGTTTAGTATACTTGGGGGCAAAAGATGCTGCTTATTTTTAAGTGTTTCCATGGCGGTTAACACCATGAAATTCAGAAAAGCCTTTATGACTAGATTAGAGAACTATAGCTGGAAGGGATGCTTAGGCCAACTCCCTCAATTTGTGGAGAAGGTTGCTGAGGTCTAGAGAGGTGCCATGTTGGGACAACTCTGATAGAATGTGAAAAGCACTAAATCTGGTGTCAAGAGCTTGAGTTTTGAGTTAGACTCGATTGGTGACTTTGGTCAAGTCACTTAACTTCATGGTCAAAATGGGTCTGATAAACTGCCAAGGCTAGAGTTAGGAAGCCTCATCTTCCTGACTTCAAAGCTGGCCTCAGACACATACTAGCTGTGTAACCTTGGTCACTTTGTTTGCCTCAGTTCCTCCTGTAAAATGAGCTGGAGAATGAAATGGCAAACCACTTCAGTGTCTTTGTCAAAAAACAAAAAGCAGAACAAAAAAACCCCCAAAACGGGGTCGTGGAGACTTGGACACAACTGAACAATAACAACAATTTGTGTCCATCAGGCTTTTCTTTTGTGGTGGAGAAAACAAATAGCTGTCCCATATCTGATGCATACTGCTTTGTACATGAATACAAAGGAATCCTACTGATTTTTATGAGAGATGATCTAGACATAAGTCTTGCTTAAGGAATTTTCCCTGGAACTCTGACATAAGGACAATGAACCAGAGAATTTGAGAAAAGTCACCAAGATGAAGAAAGTCTGCTTGAACTGTGACCCAGAGCTGTTTTTTTCTTAGATGGGGTGATAGTGGTGGTGGTGGTAACTTTGAGTTTCAGGTGAAACAAGATTCTACTTCAGCAATTCTTAGCTCCAAGATCACTTTAATTACTTTAACTTCTGTCCCGAAATTTTCTAATCAAAATAAATCAATTTACCCAAAAATAAATCCAAAATCCATTTTGATTTAAACAATAAAGATTATATTCTAGGTAATACTTTTACTTGAGGACCAGGAGCTGGGAGTTAGGGTGTAACAAAGCCAGTGAAACAATCATAGTTTGTTGATCAGGGAAAAGTTGGGAATCCTTGCTCGAGGGTTAGATCAATGGGTTTTCTGGGATGGAGGTGGGAGTTGCATTGAACATTCAATAGATTGTAGGTACACAATAGAACAAACATCAAATCTTTAGGCTGTGTATGAAATAATAATAGTGAACAGTCCCATTGCTCAATATGGAAAATCCCAATATTCGGTGGTCCTTTCTGTTTGTGCTCATGACATGGTACAGGCTGGGAATGTTTTTTTTTTTTTAGTGCTGTTTAGAATGACTGAAGCATAGTCATAATAGAGCTAACGAGATGACTTTTGGTTATTTGCATGTGAATTATTCCCAAACACAGAGAGACTTCCCCCTACCTCTCTGTAATGTTCATCGGCTGACATGTGCCAGGAGAATGAAAACTATTTTCAATATTAGCTCGGGGCAAAACAAGCGAACCAGAAGAAAATGAAGAAGACAAGTTATATAGCTGCTTTAAAGTTTGCAAAGTGCTTTACATATGTTTTTTCATTTAAGCTTCACAACAACTTGGTGAGATAGGCACTTCTTTTTGGTTCTGGACCTTTGATTTCTTGGTGCAGGAATGCTTGGTAAGGAAGCTATCTACCAATGCTGACTGACAACTACCCTGCAATCTTGTAATTACTTAGACAGTTATGTAGTGACAACGAGAGATTCAGAGATTCTCCCAGGGTTACACAGACAGTATATGTCAAAGGGGGGACTAGAAACCAAGGTGGGACAGATAGTATCATGCCTATTTTACAGAAGAGGACATTGAGGCTCAGAAAAGCGGTGTTAAATGACTTTCCCACATTTCTACAGTATCCCAGGAAGGTTTTGAATCCCTAGCTTCCTGCTCCCAAGACAAGTATTCCAGCCCTTGTGCCAGATAGAAAGCACATTGCCGAGTAGAATCCAGTGGTACATTCTTGAGTCAAATAAATACGTTTTTGGGATTATCTGTTGTTTCAGATGATCTACCGAGCTTTCATGAGAACGGAAAGTTTTGGCCACATTTGGCAGCACAGCTGGATCTGAATTCATTTTGCTAGATAAGGATGGTTGCCCTGCATTCCTTCCTCTACGTGGCACCTCTGTCCATACACCAGCTGAACCTTCTGTAGCCTTGAACTTTTTTTTGGAGTCCTACCCTCTCAGCCTCCCTCTAAGACAAGCTTTCCCAATCTGGGGTTCAAGGACTTTCAACAGGTCTGTGGATAGATGTCAGGGAGCACTTGATCTTGGATGGGGAAAAATTGCATCATTATTATTACTAACCTCCAACTGAAATAGGACATTTCCTTGAATTATTTAAAAAATGTGATTCTGAAAAGACATCCATATATTTTACCAGGCTGCCAGAGGGGGTCCATGACACACAAAAAGGTTAAGAACCCCTACTCTAAGGGAATAGCTGCAAAGATAAGGTGAGTCAAATACCAAGTCTATACTATAAGCAAGTTAATGAAATAAGTCTCTAAATGATTTGAGACCTAATATTTTGGGGTGGGGAGACGGGGAATGGTACTATGATGATTTCCTTTATAATTACAGAATTATACTCTTTCAGCTCATGATGAAAATTCAATAAGGTTGTTGATTGGACTGCCTAGCTGGAAGAGATAGTGTCAATTGTGATCTAACTGGTTTCCCAGGGCCACAGACTGTCAGGCTGCAATTAGAGTTAGCATGGTATTAATGTTAAATTTCTCTTGAAAATACAAGTAATCCACAGTCTTAATATAGCATGATAATTTCACTTGAAACTAAACAGGAGAAAACTTATTAGACAGACCCATTTGAGTGGTATTTTTTGGCATGGAGTTGGTAAGGATGATCACAAGATGGCAGTAGATACTGTATAATGTTAATTTCAAAACTGAAAAGGAACTGTGGGAATTATGTGCTGTAGACTCAAAGAAGTGGAAGCTTTCAGTGGAGATCCAATCATGGTGAAACAGGATAGCAGAGCTTTTGAGAAGTTTATGCTTATTTGGTTTTTCATCTAACAGTTTGTAAAAAGATTCCTGATCTAAGCCGTGCTTCATGTTGTTAATGACATACAAAATACATGGGTTCTTAGCACACTTTAGGCAGTAGGGAACATGGTGAAGGAGGAAAAGTTTCTTCTCCTTTCCAACTTCTTGTCAAGACACTCAATGACCTCAGGGTATCTTCCTCCACCCCACCCCCCAAATACCAGTATTGATGCTCTGATGTGAATCTTTCTCCCTTTGACATTCACCTGCCCTGGTCAATACAACAGGTTTTAGGAGAGCCTTTTTCTGAAGACTATTCTGGACACAGTAGGGATGGCGGGTGGTAAAGGGGTGGAGGAGGTGATACATGGAAAGAATGATATGGTTCAAGAAGTTAGAGGATGAGTGATAATGAGTTAAGGGTAGGATGCTTACTCAAGTGAGGCTGTATATGTTTTGAGCTTTGCTAGGTAATCTGACTGCTAATGTTTTAGCTATCAAATGGGAGAGAACTGCTAAACTTCAGAGCTAAAAGGTGATTTAGAAATTATCTAGTCCAGAGGCTCAAACAGAACTGACAACACTCCTGAGTATGGCCAGAACCAAATTAAAATGTAATTGGGAGATATTTAAAGATTTAAATAAAGATACATAAATAAATAAAAAGATAAATAAAGATACAATAGGACCTAGATAATGTTAATATGTGGTTTTCTAAATCAATATGTTGCCATCAGGGATCCTTATGTATGGTTTAGTGGCCCCTATTTCTCTTTGAGTTCAACACCACTGATCTAGTCTAAATTTTTTATTTTATAGATAAGGAAACTGAGGCACAGAGACATAAAGAATGACATATCCATAGTCACCGATCACGGAGGAGTCAAGACCAGAACCTCATCAACTAGCATTTAGTAAGCACTTATTATGTGTATGGCACTATTATTAGGCATTGGGGTTACAAGTATGAGACAGTACCTGTCCTTGAAGAGCTACATTGTTGGGGGGGGGGTTGGTTTCCACGTATT